ATTCCACCATGAAAAAACTATCCCTTTTCACTTTAAAATCAAACCTGAAAAATGTCTACTTCACACTCTAAAAGTTCATGTTTTCCATCCATTCCTTATCTCACTACAATCTAGCTTCTGCCTTTATACCATTCTTTTAAAGCTGCTTTCACCAGGAATAATTTCTTGGGTTCTGTTTTTTTTAAATATTTTTTATTTGTCAATGGGCCTTTATTTATTTATATGCTGTGCTGAGAATCAAACCCAGTGCCTCATATATGCTAAGTAAGCATTCTATCATTGACCCACAACCCCAGCCCCTAAAAAGAACCGTTTTTAACATAAACTACTTAACCTCTTAGTATTATATAACTATTATCACCCCTTGATTCAAGTATTCTCCCTCTACTGGCTTCAAGGCCATTGCCATTTAATTTCTTTTTGCTTCCTGAATGATTCCTTTCAATTTCAACTCTTTATGGGTTCCTCTCCTGTGTCCAAGCATTGAAGAGATGAGTTAGCTTGCTCAAAGTCACAAAACTACTAGACAGGAAACCAGATACAAAAATGACTTTATAAACATATATGTGTGTGTGTGTATCTCCCTAACAACTATCAGAATTAACAATACATTTCAGTTTCATTATCTGCTCCCTGATTCTATCACTGCAGATACCACTGTTCCTTGAAGGCAGAAAGAAGACTCACCATCATCATCTTCAAAAGCAGAGAGCTTTTTAATGGTAACCTTATTTAAAAAAAGAAGTTTTTTTTTTTTTTTAAAACACAGAAACAATATAATTCTTTCTACTCTTAACAACACAACAGCCCTCATTTAAAGAAATTAGTCTAAGGAATGAGTCAAAAGATATTTATTGAAGTCATATTAGTATTCAGAAGACTGAATGTATTTCAACCTTAAAAGTATTCATATTGTTAAATGAGCTTGAATTTCATAACTATCCCTAGCTTGCTTCTCTAAAACTAAAGGGATGCAAAAGACTTGCATTCGGGTTTCAGACAAAGGAGGTGAATGTTGCCAAGCTCCTAGAATTTATATAAATGTCAAATATATAATGATTTCTTTGTAAAGATTCAATGATAACTCTAAGATTCTATGATAACATCATTAATGTGTATATGTACACAAATGAAAATGAAACATAATTATTCCAAGGGTTTTATTGAAAAGATCAATAGATAAACCTATATTCTTCCCATCCAATACAAAAGAAAATGTTCTTTTATTTCCTGATGTAAGCTGTCAATACCTTAGATTTACCTACAGTTTCTGCTCAGAAGTGAACCACCCCATTACTGAAATCAGAAGATATTAATGTTCTCAATGCAGTTGTTCTGCTCACTTGAACTGTGCTCCTCTTTGTGTTCATCAACATATAATAGTAAACAATAAATTCTCAGAAATAGGCAGTACCTTATTCAGCATGTATTCATGATTCCATTTAGTATGTTGAGAATTTATTAAAATAACCATCTCCTAACTTGTAACAGTCTGACCAAATTTTAAAATAGAAAGACTTGCCCTCCAGGAGCTTACATACCTGTTCATTTGTTTTTCTCCCTTCCACCACAGAAATACAGGTCATTTTACAGACAGATTAAACACGGAAAGTGTTTTATACTTATTTTAGTCAATCCAAACTTCCTAACATTAAGTGCACTTTATGATTAAAATAATTTAGTATTTAGAATGTCTACTACTAATCCTGAATTTCCACTCTAAACCAAAAAAAACTGGAGTAATGGTTCACAACCTGGAGTTCCTTAATCCTTCCAGAAGAAAAGAGAATTAACACTTACCCGACATTTATTCAGCTCCCTAAAAAACATAACAAGTGTCCTGGAGATACACAGTCAACATTTCAAAAAAGGTGAATACAAATTATATAAATAGAAGAGTAAAATTCTGCAGGCTATTACTTAATAAATACAGACTGGTAAATCTTTCAAGGCATTATTTTACCATAATGTTCCTTTAAACAGGTCCTCCTCTGGTGCTTATTTACACATTCAAAAGGCATATAATTATGATAGTTGTGTACTATAATGGATAATGTACAAAGTTCTACAAAAATGCAATGGAAACGGGAATTAATTCTGCCGGAAAAGGCTTCACATAGATAATATCTGAGCAACTCTTAGGATAATTTAGCTCTCTAGTCTGCAGATGCCTCATGTATTTTTGGTTACAAAATATTGCAGAATTTACCTGTAATTTGTATAAATCTTTAGAGATCACTTATCCTGAGACCTTCTACCTTCAAAGTAACAGAATCTTTTCTTTAAAAGTCTAATTGACACTCTAGTGTGTAAAAGAGGTAAAGTGGATAGATGGGCTCTTTTGAAAGGCAAAGTTATTGAAAAGTTGTTGTAATCAAACTTCATTTTAAAATATGAAAACTGAAACACTAAGAAAGACAATGATTTAAAGGTCACATAGAAACAGAAGGGAAATAATTTATTGAAAGTTCACCTGTTAAGTCTTATCTCCTCTTTTAAGTCTTGCTTCTCTCTCCATTTGGAATTTATCACTCCTTACTTCATTCCCTGGTCTACCTAGCACATGTTTCCATTATGGCTTCTATAAAACTTTTAAGTGACCTAATTTTATGTGTCTGTATTTCTCTACTACATTGTAAGCTCCCTGAAAGAAGGGAATGTCTTAACATCTTTGTATGTCACCCAGAATAAAATGTTGTGTACTGCATTGTATCTGACCAAGTATCAAAAAAGATTTAAGTTGGCCTGGTACCTGGCACATAGTAGGATTTAATATTATTTATCAAATCAATTTGTGGAACATAAGGTTATTAAATAATATACCTAAAGCAGTTACAACAGAGTCTGACACACTGTTTCTATTCCATTAACATTAGCTATTATTATGTAACCTTATATAGGTAGGGAAGAAAACCCTGAAGCCATTATTGAAATTTTAACCTGAAAGACAAAAACTAAGCAACTTTTATCAAGCTTTCAAATTACTCATTTACATATTACTAATACAAGCACATATTTCATGAGAAAAAGACAAAATCTTGTACATCTTAAAGGATGGCAGCCTGGGAAAAAATAATACAGAGAATTGTATGTGATTAATCTCCAGACCTGGAGTGAAAAGAGAAAATGGACTGGTCTTAATCTTGGGGCTAAGTCATATCTTTCTACAYCTCAGTTTCAGTCACCTGTGAAATGGGGGTGGTGAAATGTTAACTCTAGGCTTCTTTCCTGCTCCTGCTCTAACCCTGTAACAAATTTGGACCTAGAATCTTTCAGCTTTCAACTCAACATGAGTAAAAACTTTATTTTTTAAAAAACCAGCAAATGGTGCACAATGGATTTGGTGTCAGATGGCCTGGATTTTCATACCAGTCTGATATCATTTAGCTGTGTCATTCTGAGCAAGAAGCAAACTCTCTGGGTCTCAATGTCCTCAACCTGTAAAACGAAGGTGTTGGACAATATGAACTCTTTAAAATACATCACAGTCATGATATTCTATGAAATAAACTAGCTCTAAAGGAAATAGAGATTAAGTCACCATTTATTAGAGATGTTTAGAGGGCTCTGCATAAACCAAAAGTAGAGAATTTCAGGATTAGAAGACTACCTCTCAATCAACTGAGGAACAAGTAACTCTCCAATGTATTTTTGGAAGAGGTCTCCCAATGATTCTAGTTCTGAAGAACGACCCATGGGAAAAAAGTCAGTCATTTCATCTTAGGCCAACTATGATGCAAAGTTCTTTACTGAAGCCAACCCATCCTCTTATAACTTTTGCCCCCTACTTTTACCTCTCACTCACCTCTCAAATGTTTCTGGTTAGCGGTATCTCCCCTTAACTATCCTCTCCTCCAAAATTAAGATTCTCCAACTCTATCCATCTTTCCTCCCAACAGAGCACCAAAACCCCCTTACCGCCCAACCCGCCTTCCTCCATTCTTGCTTTAGTGAACGTCAAAATTACTCAAACAGCTCTTTCCATTCTGACACGCTGATTCGCTATGGAACCTAAGATTTCTCACTTACCCAGGTGATACCACCCCGCAGGCCCTAATTGCCCTTGCCCCCTCCACTCAAGGAAGCCCTTGCCGGGAGAAGTATGCCCTGTTACCCCGAGAAAGAGATACAAGAGGGAGGGAGGGAGACAGAGAGACAGACACACACATACACACACACACTCTCACACAGAGACAGAGAGAGAAAGAAGTGACGGCGGCGCCAACACAGGCCCGCACCCTGTTCTCCCCATCAAACCTCCTCCCTCACCGGTATTGCTTGGGGTCGCTGGGAGACTTGATGATCTCAGGGTCTCCGGCATTACTGAGAGACCCCCTCCGTCCCTCCTCCTCGGATTCATCCGCTCCTAGACGGGCAACCCGGCCGCTCTCGCCCAAATCCTGTCCATTGGGTTGCAGTTCAGGGCAGCTGCAGGTGGACTTCGCCTTGTTCCTTCCGGGCATGGTCACAGTAGGAAAAGGTCTGGTAGAGTCTTCACACCGACCCCGCGCTCCGATTCTCCACAGCGCCGCGAGCTCCCGCCCGGCCTCACACAACTTCCTCCCGGTGGCACAGACTGCAGCAACCGCGACTCTCCTCAGCATTCACCACCAAGCCGTAGCGATGGGCATCCCGCTCCCCAGGGCCCACCCCCTCCTCCTACTCCAGCCGCTCCTCCTCCTCCTCCGCGTTCCAGAGGCGGCGGCCGCGGCCGGCGCTGGTGCTGCCGCAGCCGCAGGGGAGGACAGGCCTGAACCCCTCCCCCAACTCGGTCTCTCTCACGCTGACTTCCCTCATCCCCCGCCCCTCTGGACGCGGTGACGCTACTGACGTGAGCCAATCACGAGACAAGAAGGCAGTCACGCTCATAGGAACAACCAATGGTAACAGGGAAGGAAAGGAACCAAAGGGACCCGGCTGGATTCTCGGAGCACCCAGAGAGCATTTCGAAGCCTAATGTGGGCGGGGCGACAGACAGGAGGCCCGAGTGACGCGGAGGACGACGGGAAAAGGGCGCCTGCGCTGCGTTTATGACGTACTCGGCAGCGGCTTTAAGGCAGTAAGTACTGCTCCGCGTCTCAGAAAAATATTCCCCTAGTGAGAAAACTGTGAAGCGAAAGCGGATAGATTGAATTACAAAGTCTTCTCCCGTTCGCGTCATATTTTGTGAACTCTGCCTCTCAAACTCGAGGCCGAACGTTTGGCCGTGACTCAGCATATAACAAAAAGCAGAAGGCCGGAAGTCTTTTCCTACGCCCGGGAGGTGGACGCTGCCCCCAGAGTGGGAGTCAAGCGCCGGAAATAGCAATTGAGCGTTTCCGCCGCTTTACTGTCAAGTGCTCTTGCTTTTCGCCTACAAACCTTATGAAAGTGATTGAAAGATCGGTCTGGACATTTTTTAGCTCCGCCACAGACTAGGGTCCACAGTTATCTTACCTTTAAGTTCACCCAACTTTTACTGAACAACTACGATGTGTCGGCGAGCTGCTTTTAAGTTTTTTCTGCTTGCAGTAGCCTTTGATGGGCAAGCTAAAATGTGACTTAAGTATAGACACAATTTAAAAAAACATAGCTGACAATAAGATACTGACAGGTTCCGATGATACTAGCACATATAAAAATGAACATGAATGAATGGAGAAAGACTTGAAGCAGGGATATGTACTGTGGGTTATTATATCTAAGTTTTTCTAGGCCTCTTCTGAGCTCCAGGCATGGGATAAAGCCCTGAAAAAAAAAATGGTGTATTCAAAAAGTAATAAATGCTATGAAGAATACAGGATAGGAGGATAAGGAGTTGGGGAGGACAGGTGTGGAAGGTTCAGGCAGGAAAGGATGAAACCTGAACTGGGGCAAAAGATGAGGAATATTGAAAAGTATTGTTCAACGATCCCGGTTTTCAAGAACCTATCAGCTTTTTAAATAAGCAGCTTTACTAGACTGCCCTCCTTCGGAGCAGGTTTTTTTCTTTGTATCTCCAGTCTCTAGCATGGCTTCCCAAAACATAGTAAATCGTTAAATGTTTGCTATTGAGTAAATACCTGCAGCGACATTGTCTATATTGTATTAAGAATTATTTTTCTCTCCAAAGCAATAATGCCAGAAGTGAGAAATCATCCAAGTACAGCTAGCAATTAGATTTTCCTTACTAAAAAACAGAATTTACATCTTTTAAGTGTGACCTACTAGTTTTCCCTTTATTTTTTACTTTGCAGTACTAGAGATTGAATCTGCAGCTTAACACATGCTCAGCCAAGCGCCCTACCGCAAAGCTACATTTCCAGCTCTTAGAATTTTGCTTTAAAAAGATCTCTGAGTGGGGCGTGGTGGCACAAGCCTGTAATCCTAGCGGTTTAGGAGGCTGAGGCCAGAGTATCACAAGTTCAAAGCCAGCCTCATCAAATTAGTGAGGCCCTGTATCAAAACATAACAAAAAAGGCCGGGTTTGAGGCTCCGTGGTTAAGCCCCCATAGATTCTATCACTACAATTCAATAAGTACAAAAAAAAAAAAAAAAAAACCTGAATTTTACAAGTCACCAGATTCAAAATATGGCAACATCCTATAGTGTGGCATTCCATGTATTCATTCTATGTATTCATTCCACCAACAAATCCAGCTGGGAATAGAGTGATGAACAAGAAATTTTCTAGTTCTTTTGATTGTGAATAGTTCCAGAAGGAGATAAAGACACATATCCTGGCCAAATAGTTCTCTAAAGAAGGAAATTTAAGCTAACATTTGAAAAATATATAGGAATGGTGCAGGAATGTGTAGGAATGGGTTTGTCAAAAAGCTTTTGATAATCTGGTCAGTATGGCTATATTACAATAATCTGGGAGCAAAAGGGAAAGAGATGAGTGGCAAAAAAAAAATCATAGGAAACCTAAGAGTAAGTCACTATTTGTGTATTTTTTTTTGTATCATTGGATTCCCAGCTCTTTGAATGGTTTCTGAAACTCTGTAGTATTTATTCAGTAAATAATGACTGAACAAATGAAGAGAAGTCATGATCACAAATGTTTTCCAAGTAGATCACTGTGGTTGATGTGTGAAAAATAAATTGGATGGTGAAGGGCCAGGGAAAGTCTGTAAATGAGAAAAGAGGGAGCAGAGCCAGGTATGTGATCTGTGCCTAAAGTTCCAACTAATCAAGAGGCAGAGGTAGGAAGATTGCTTGAACCCAGAATTATGGGCCAGCCAGGGAAACAGAGAGAGACTTGACTCAAAAAAGAAAAGGAAGAGGAAGAAGTTGAGAGGCTACTAAATAATATAGGCAATAAAAAATAACTTGAGTTTGGGGAATGATGGTGGAGATAGATAAGTTGTGTATAAGTTGTGTATTTAGGAGGTAGAATTGACAGGTTTATTAGTGGTTGATTTGATGTGGGGGAATAAAGAAGAGAGTAGTGTAGGCATAACTTTCTAGCTGATTTTCTGGTTGGATAGATGATAATCCCAGTAATTTTCAGAGTTTCTGAAAGGCAAGCATTTTAGGAGAAGAGTATTGGCTCAGTTTTGGACTTTGAGTCAGGTTGAGTTCAAAAAAGAGACCTAAATTGGAGATCAAAATGTTGTGGTTTGTCAGTTTCTAAGTTGTAACCAAAACCTACTGAATAAGACCACCTCAACCCCCATTGAAATTACGAAGTAAAAAGAGAAAAGGGCCCTAGGACCAAGCTGTGAAGAGGAAGAACTCACAAAAGAGACTGCCATATTGGTAAGAGAAAAAGCAGAATGTGATGTCCAAGGAAAAAATAATTCTCTGATGCTGGGCTGAGTATAATTTCGAGCCCATAGCAGATGTCAGAATTTCAGATTAAATGTATCAAATATGAAAATTGATAAGGCATCACAGAAGTACTTTAGTTTGGGTCCTTTAGATACAAAAATAAATATCTAGCAATGGAGATGAAGCTCACAAATGACCTATGGCATAACCAGGACTTTCAAACCAAAAGTATTATTTTCCCATTGAAAATAATTTTAAAAGTTGCCACACCTCATTTGTTCTTTTTTAAATGTTTTTTTAGTTGTAAAAGGAGACAATAACTTTATTTTGTTTATTTATTTTTACGTGGTGCTGAGGATCGAACCCAGTGCCTCACGTGTGCAAGGCAAGTGCTCTACCTCTGAGACACAACCCCAATCCCATACCTCATTTGAATACTCATAGTTATTATAAAAAGTATTTCCTGGAGGAAACATTAAGTCAAGCTACTTCCATTTATAAGAAATTGAGCTAAAATAAATAAATAATAAAGTTAAAGATCACAGGATTATAATTTTAATCCTGTTTATCTAGTCTTTCTTACAGTATATAAATGCTTTTTTTTTTTCCATTTCCACTCCATCATTAGCATCCTATACTCCCTCCCAGCTTACCTCATAGATTTCCTTCTCATTAGGTAGTGACCCTTTGCTCCCTATTATTCTGATGAAGTTCAGAAATCATGAAAAATAAAAACATCTAATTTCTATGTTTGATGCCTACCTCTGAAAATTATTTTAATTTTAGTCATTGTGATAGCTGTCTACCTACCAGAGAAACAAATCTGAGCTTTACTCCTAAAAACTCAAAGGTAAGTTATTCTTAACCCCATTATTCGCCTTTATATTTTGAGAGTTAGGAAAAGTCAAAAGTATGATGGAGTGTTGGTTCTACGTTGAGTAGATGTAGAACTCAATACATCTGGTGTGGCATGAGCCCATTTAGCTTAAAGCCCAGAATTATCTTCCTTTTTCTAGTACCTAAAATTCCCGCATCTGTGATTCATTGTAATATTTTATGACTCCTCTTAAATGCCTGTTACACTTTTGAAAGAAATGAACACTAAGGCCATTTTGTGACTAGTGTTTCAATTTTAGAACACACTCTGGGAAACTTGAGATCATCATAAACCTGGGGTGGGTGAGGAAATTACTAAATGTAGGTGAAAAGGCAAAGAGGAGGTAGGTAACAACAGAATTATTATTTTCAAGATACTGTCTGTGGCCCACGCTCTAAGAAATTATACCTTTGGAGCTCTAGCTATTATGGGTCCCACCCACTGATTGTTATCCACCTTTTGCAGTTTTGTATCTAGGTCAAGAAATAGGCCTATTTTCATGGAGCTTTGTTTATGTAATATACAAAGTGATTTATGAGATTATAAAAACAGTTTTCTCCTATATTATGAACATGGTTATAGGAGGAATTTAGTGCTTAGACCTTAAGATAAATTAGGAATTGCTTTAAAAATTATGCCAAATGAAAGATTATTCTATAACCAGTGCCCCTCTTCTGGTTTAAAGATATGCATTTTAAGACTCTGTCTAGAAAGGAAAATGTGAAGACACAAAAATTATGTTTATAATATATAATTCAGATTATGTTACTATTCTTTTTAAAATTCATCAATGGCTCCTCTTTTTTTTTTTTTTTTTCCTCCTGGTACTGGGGATTGAACCCCAGGGGCACACTGCCACTGACTACATCCCCAGTCCTTTTTTAAATTTTTATTTTGAGATATAGTTTTTCTAAATTGCTCAGGCTGGTCTGAAATTTGTAATCCTCCTGCCTCAGTCTCCCCAATAGCTGGGATTATAGGCCTGTGCCAGCATACCTGGAACACACTGACTGGCTAGCTGAGTATTTTATTTATTTGTTTGTTTGTTTGTGTTTGTTTTGGTTACTGAGGATTGAAACCAGGAGCACTTTACCACTGAGCTAGTCCCAAGTCCTTTTTACTTTTTATTTTAAGACAGGGCTCATTAAGTTGCTAAAGCTGGCTGGGATTACAGGGGAGCACCATTATGCCCAGTCACAATGACTTTCTTACTCTAACACATCAGGATATTTTCTTTTTTAGGGCCGTTATCTCTGCCTCTTGGCCTGGAATATTCTTCCTTTAAATTTTGCATTGCTGGCTCCTCATGAGTCATACAACAGTTCAAATGTCATTCTCAAGAAGTGTCTTCTGTTATCCAAAAAAGTATTCATTATTTGAAATTATATTATTTATTTGTGTATCGGCTTTTTGACTATGTACTGTCTATATTATCAGTCCATGCAGAGTTG